TGTTGTTGATGAGTCGGTCGAAAAGCGCTAATGTAACGGATCAATCAAAACATGAGTTGAGCACAATACTAAGAATTTTATTTCACAGTTCCTCACTCCGTTTTTACACATCCACCACTACTTTCAAACGATAGAAAAAGTAATTGGTACTATTTTTTTTATACTCTACCACATGTATAGACACTTTCATTTAAATAGCGCTTGTATTCGGGCTTTTGCACAAGATAAAATTGTTTCCGCGTCAAAGAGTGCATTTATCAACCAGAAAGTCGAACTATTGTTTCTTAAAAAGACTCTCATAACAACATTCTTTTATCCCTTCTTTCTTCTGTCCTGCACATAATGTAATGAAATCAACGATAGATTTCAACACCAACACTTTTTTTCCCTCCCATCCCTTCAATGACGGTAGTTAGGGCCAATTTATCTATTACTACCTTATGAAACGTGCTTTTAAATTAATATGCTCATTTTTTTTAAATTGAATTGAAGCTGACAGCAGCGCCTAGCTGATAGCTTTAACATTTCAACACGAGCTGCTTGTTTATTCAAAACACATCTTTTTTAGAAACTTTACGCAAATTACGAGAAAAATATATACAAAATTAATCCTCAGGGGTAATGCATACTGTTATTTGGCCTTTACGGGTTTATGCCGCCCAATATAACAACTTATCCTCTTACACTAGGTGCAAATTAAATGGATTTATTCTTAAACAGGTGCAGTGTTTGAAGATATGTGCAGTACAACCACTTCCCACTCTCCTCCTCCCCCAAGCCACGGTTAGGGCCCCCCCCCCCCCCCTCCCCATCCCTCGTCGGGAAAACATAACGTCAGCTTCCGAGGCAGTTTGCAAGACGCTTTTCCTCCCCGCACAAACATCTGCTTGCCCTAGCGCAAAATACGTTTCGGTCATTAAGCCTCTTATATTTCACAACCTCAAATATACAAATATAGATTCTGAAAAAGACAAGAACGATATGTGATGCCTTCTTTCATTGCAGTCCATTTGATTTGGTATTTCTTTAGAATGCCTTCGCGGTTGCCAACTTGAATTAAGATTGGAAAGCAGGCGTCTGTGCAGAGTAGAGCAACGAGTTTCCTCAAAGCAACTGCGAAGGAAACTAATATGGAGAGCAACATTGTTCAAAATGTAACCGCCATAGATGAGTAACACCAACTCTTGTCTAACTACAATTATATCACCAAAAAAGTAAAATCGAAAACTTCTCAGTAATCAATTGTGCGCAAATTGAGACAGTTCCATCTCATAAAACATTGGAAATAACAGCTGTCACTTGAATTCTTTATCTAGTAAATTGTGCGTATCGGCATCTGTGCAAGTTGAGAATCATATTATATCTTCAGTTATATGTAATAGCAGTCATTATAACTCTCTGAGCTCAATCGCTGCAACATTGGACTTAATTCTAATGACTGGTGTTCCCGCTGCACGCAAAATGTTGAACCTAGGCCTATCACCCAGAATCACTGAACGCAACATTTCAAACTTACATAGCATATTCATGGCATTCAGCAACATGGCCATCTTCGCACCAGAGTCAGATTTGACGCGTAACGGCGCCTGACAGTAAAACTCTAAACCTCTAACATTTTGCGTAATTATCATAGTATGTTTTGAAGTCTATAAAATAATATGTAAAATAACTTTTACTGTTATGGAAAAATCCAGGCTGGCTCCATGCAAGTACTCTGTACTATAGTTCACCTTTGCCACTTGCTTTTTCCTTGCCTCGGAAAAATCTTACAAGTCACAAACAAACGTCCCCCCCTTCCCTCCCTGGTATTATTGAAACGAAACGTTACGTTACTATGTGCCTGACTTCTAGAATGTTGATAAAACTATTCTTGAAATAACTCATACTTTTTTAAATTGATATAAATCAAACAAATTCAAGTTTAATCAATACAGATATCTTACTAACTGAGTTTGCGAGGTCCGTAAACGAGGTTAGTAAAAATGTGTTACATCTCTGGGTTTAAATAGAGAAGGAAGATTCCAAGTGAAACAAAATAATGAATTCAGTGGAAGTGCAGTGAAATACAGGCCATGATATTGGCCAATCATAGCGCCCCTACCAACTGAGAGATGTAATGAATTCATTTCTTTATAACACATAGTTTACTTTCCTCTAATTCGGTCGGCGAAGTAATTTTACTTCGGTGCCTTTTTCTCTGCATGTCTCTTTATCTTATTATAACTTTACACGAACTGCACAACTCCATAATTCACATCACCCGAAAACCCAAAGATCACTTCGAATTCTTCGTTGATGGGTCTGGGTTATTTCCTGAAAGGAGAATTTATGCGCCTTGTTAAGAAGATAGGAAAAGAACTGATACAGGAGCATGTAAAAAATTTGCTATTAAATAGTTGTTGCTTTTTTCGCTGGCGGTAAATTACAGTTATAGATATGAAAAGCTTTTACAGTTTTTCGAACGGGTGGCAAAAAACCAAGTGTTACTCTTTTAATTTTCAAATAAGAAAAAAAAAGTGGAAAAGGTAAATTGTAATAGATCTTGAGAAATTTTGAGCAACTTCGCTCTAATGTATATGTTTACCTGGTAATGTCGATTGAAAAAAATCAGAAATCAGGAACAACTTCTACTGCCCAAGACATCGAACGGCCATTTAATGTGTCCTGGAGGAAATAAATAATTTACCTCTAAAATAACTTCTCATCAATCACAATGTACACACAGTTTATATTAGAGTAGGGAATGTCCGTCAAGTATCTTTGTTAGAGTTAAAAATTATTGCAATTATATGTTTTGGTTTGGTCTTCGATGTTAATATCTTTTGCATGCACAACACGACGACTAAGCCAAAACTCTCCCTTTATGTCGAAAACGATGAGCTAAGGTTAAAAGGCAAACGAAAGAAAAAAAAATGTTCACCTTTTCGTAGCTGTTAGGGAATAATCGTCATGTATCAAGGTAATTTTAATTACTTTTTTTCTGTTGGAAGGGGCGGGGAAACTTACCAAAATAGAAATATGTAGCAGAGGGTTTCAGAAAAAAACTGCGTTTCAAGTAAGTGAATCGATAAGTTTTCTACAAGTCCCTCTACTCAAGGAGTTCATGGACCCTTATTATACATAATGCCACGTTAGCAATTTTGTTTAAGAAGAAAACTGTTTACCTGTTGCGTGGAATTCCAAGATGAACCATACCTATAGTGTCCATTTGACTTCATTCTGATGAAAAAGACGAGTTAATTTCACAATCAACTAATTTGTTTATTCCTATAAGTTTTAAACGAATATCGGGCTTATTTTTTTGCCTTTTGAATAAATGTTTTATAAAGTTAAAAGCCTTGTGGTTGACTAAATTTTGGTGATGCGTGAATCCTAAGCTTTTGGAGCATTACTATCCCACGCGGAAGCTGTTTTTTGTTAAGCTTGCCAAATAACCCCTCAGCACTTGACAGACCGGCCATTTTGACGATTGAGCTTAGGAAAAAGAAGCCGATATGAATTAAGGGTAGTTTGGTAGACAAATACTGAAGCCATACTACGGCCACGTTTATTTGCGACATGCCACTGCATTCTGGTTTGTATATCTGAGTTTTATCTGAATGATGGATGAAATATGTACCTTTCATTGATTATCCTACTTCCTTGACGCGCTCCGTTCACGTAACGCACCGAGGAGAGGCCACCGTGATCTCGAAGGTTGAATTTCTCTCCGTATCCCGTGCGTGCATTCAGACGCGGGTCCGATGAGACTATCCTTGACCCTGGTGCATCATAAAACCCATAATAACTCGACGGGTCGGTAATAAACGAACCACTCTGTGTCCCTCTTCGACTTGTGGGGCCATCTTCATACGGGATAATAGTTGGGGTGCTGGACAGTTCGTTGGAAGAGTGGTAACGAGATGCACTGTGGTAGCCAGATCTGCGACCGAACGAGTCGGACGGATCAGTGACGTAATACGAAGTACCTGCATTCCCCTCTCTGCTAGGCCTGGATGATGTCACGTACCCTTGAGGCCCAGAGGTCGAAGATACGAGGTAATTTCCGGAAGTACTCGATACACCTCGTTGCTCGGAAGTCTTGCCATGGTAGGAGCTACTCGTCATGTTTTGTCCAGCTTGTTTCAGACTAAAACGTTGTGGTCGAGGCGGGACAGCGTGTACAGTAATGATCATCTTTCCATCTTCTGCTCGGGTTGTAGCCGCGTGACTTGTGGTTTTGTGGCCTTCGTGGATTCTCTGAATGGTCTTCACTGGAAACGCTGGTGGTTGGGAGTTGCGACGCAGAACTATTTCGTTGCCTGTAACCTTTAAGTAACAAAAATAGTAACGGAACAGTTATGAAGAAATCATGACGTGGTTTTGATTAATAGTTTTTAAAGTTGAGTTCAAAGTTATATTGGGTCTGTTAACACCCTAAGTATTCGTTATTCTTCATCAAATGAACACGGTTAGTTCCAAAATATCATAGGGTGTCTTTGAACGTTTTGTTTTATTAACCAACATACCTTTGAGCTGCTTTGTGGCTGCCTTACCACAATCTCCTGGTGACCACTTTGAGCACGGTTCTGGGATCGATGAGCGTCAGCACATGTCAACAATATCTTCCCTCTGTAATATCGTGCGCCCACGATATAAGGACATAGACTACTGGCAGCGGCTTTTCGTCTTCGTCTCATGCTCCCGGTTCTTCTCATCTCTCTAGCGACGCGTATCTTGTTAGATTTAGCAGCGTTTTGCTCTTGTATCTTGAATTTGATTGGTGTGCGCGCTTTTCCATCTTGCTGTTGTCCTTTGTAGTGACTGGTATAGTACATGCCGTCTTCGCACTGGTCTCCGCTAACTGGGACCGTAACGATACCATCCGACTAAGAACAATAAAACAGATGAATAAAAACTCATCGACAAAACTGACGATTCGACTGCATGAAACGAGCGATGAATTACACTTATTTTTTGCCAATTTTGCTTGTCTTGGTCCTAAGCACTGACAAGTATGATCGAATTTAGCTGGAAATTCTTGCTTCTCATTTCCTATAATTTAACTGGTTCAGTTAATGTAGTGACCTTTGTAAACTTGGAGAATTAAGTTATTGTAGTATGAATGAAAATCAGCCAAAACTCCTCAGTTTTTCGTGGAACATTTGGGAGGTATGAGTATAGATGCTTTTCAAGTATCCACTTAAATAAGATAAAGTTACCTCAAAGATGTCATTTTTCTTCTGTAGGATCCTCCCCCATGTTTTCCTAATCGAAAAATAACGATATAATCGCAATCATAAAAGTGGTGGAGTATTGAATGCGCTATCACTAAGATAAGCTATCAGCAGTACTGACTAGATTTTCATACTGCGGCTCGGAAGGGGGCAAAAGCGAAGGAATCTTTCGCTTCAGTTTGTTCTCTTTCCAATTTGAATGAGGAAGAGAGCAAACTGAAACGAAAATAAATCCAAAATAAACCAAGTCCCTCTGACCAGTTGTTTCTACCTTGACTTGAGAGGCTCGTACAAGATAACTAGAAGAGGAAGATCAGTTCTATGCTCTTCCACAATTGCTTGGGGTGCCGAAAACTACTTTCCATCTACTTTTCACGAGAATAATCCTCAAAACATACCTTCCTTTATCACCAACTTTAATTTTCACAACTCCATTCTCTACTCTAACAGCATCCGCTCCATAAACATCATCAACTTTAATTGTTCTGATATAGGGCTCTGTAGTCTCCTTTGTCTCTCTCAGTACTATTGCTTTCTCTTCCGGCGCAGCTTGAGCAATAATGCATTGAGGGCGACGATGTTTTTCGCGTCTTCCTCGCACTCTCACGAGAACGTCAACGGGATCGTCTTTGTACTGTCGTATTTTCGGATACCTTCGGAGGGATCTGAGAGTTGACACAATATCATCAGAATATGTTTTTTTTCGATGCTCTTTTAAAGTACTAAAGCTTCATTGATTGGTTCTTCAAGTTATACCCCTAATTCTGTTGTTTTTCTTTTAATGTAACAGAAAAGATTCTTAGGAATTAGCCCTTACATTCCCAGAAATTAGGAACATATGACGTCTTTATATAACACCAAATTTGTTAAATTAATCATATTACGATGAAACGTGTAGCATACATAGGGGATGACAAACAATTAAGCCTTGGATTGAGGGTTATCTGAAAATTCTAATCTGGACAAGACCTTTACCGTGTAAACCAAAGTTTTGACTATGAATCCTCGAAAAATATTTCTAACAAGAGCAAGATCATGCTTGCTGTAAGGAATTGAATACATTATTCATATGCATGAATAATTTCTTTCGACTTTACCTCCGATGGAAGCTTCGTCTTCTCACCGGCCCCACGTGGAACATTCTGTCAACGTCCTCGGCAGTGTATGCGTTCCACGGACTCCAATTTCCAATTTTTAGTAAACGATCTACGTCTTCAGCTGTGAAAGCGTTCCACCACTCTTGCACGTCCTTTTTCGGTGATATGGTTTGTTGGTGACTGTCTACTTGGATCATGGTGACACCATTGTCTCTCACTTGTTCTCTGTCCACCTATTCAATCAGAAATGATTTTAAAACAATTGACAACATGGCTAATCCGCTTGAGCAGAAGCTGGCTAAAGGTTTTGTTTTTTAGGTAACGTCCCAACTGACGAAAACGCAAATTCTTTAAAAAAAATAAATAAATAAAAAATTAAAAAAAAAATATATATATATATAGATGAGAGGCCTTGTAGTAAGATCTATAACAAGAAGTATTTCAGATCATAATGTCTGTATCGTAATATGTAGAGGTTGTCTACTTTTACATAAATCTTAATGTCTTCAAATAACCTGATCATCCGTACAAAGTTTCAAACTGTTAAGTAGCAGATAAAGTTTTCTTCTGTGATCATAAAATGAGCCCTTTTTACCTCCTCAATTTGAGTAGTTCTTCTGTAGTCTATAGGAACGCCTCTTAATTCCTTTAGCCTGTCTCGCTCGTCTACAATCGAGTCTTGCCGTTGAACCACAGTAGTTACAACATTTTGTTGAACATCAGGAGGGGTCATCGTCTGTGCGTCACACATTTGTTTCATAACAGCAGGCTTTTGATCTGGTTTACTCGTCGGAGATATGACCTCTTCTGCATGGGACTGCGGTGTTGTTCTTACATCATCTTGAATACTGCTGATCTGTCTGAGAGTACTGGCTGTGCTGGTCTGTCTACTGATTTGGCGACTTATTGTCTCGGATGTGATACTCTGTAATAAGTAAAAAGTATATCAATTCCAAAGTTCCATTAAATTTTTCTATCCGGTGACTAACCCAAGTTTTGTTTCACGTCGCTGATAGGGAACGTACTTTTTTGCTACTAAAAGTTGTTTTCAGGGAACTCGACACATAATAACAGCACGTCTTCCCAATGAAGGTTAATATTCTCATAGGGTTACCAGTACAGAAAATTGATTGAATAAAAAAATGATACCTTGAGAGTTTGATTGATGGTGAAGGTGTAAATAAAAAACTCTACATGTATGAGTGACAGACCATGGTGTAGGCGGAAAAGACGTAGACCGAGGCAGAGTGGGGACAAGACTCTGGACGAATGAGTTGCAACTAAGATAGATTCGAGTGGCAATATTTAAAATATTGCTCTTCCTCTTTTCCTTTCATGACCCATGAAATGCTTTCATTCAATGTGCACTGAGAATAGCGACATACCTCTCTTTTCCCAAGTGAGTCTGGACCATCAACCTCTGATCCTGAACCTGGTTTGAATTCGGTTGGTTGGTACCTCTTAATATGAACTGGAGGTTTGATATCAACATCTGGTTTCCTCTCTGAGTGGTCATCCACATACCTTTCAAGTTTCATTCGAGCTCTTCTATCATCCAGTGTATCAACCTTGTCTTTTAGCTGCTCAATTTTCTTCCGGAGCTCACCAATAACAGGTGATGTCTTGATCTCCTTATACTCTGGTAATGGAGCATCGATTTCCTCGCAGAAACGAGTCTTGTTTTCCTCTGATATATGCTTGTCTTCGCGGGTGCTTGTCCTTCTTGGTGAAGGTTTCGACCTCTCAGGAATGTGTCTTGGAGACTCAACTTTTGAAGATAATGATCTAGGGGTATTGTCTTCCCACCTCTTCCGAGAAATAACGGAATCATCTCTGATTGTTTTTCTAGTGACAAATTCATCATTTGAGTGAACCCTGACCGACCTCCTTTCATCTCTCTCCCGCCAGTCTTCATAACCAGGTTCGCCCTGCAATCCCTCTGGAGATGAAGCGGGATATTTACGTCCGTGAGTGACACTTTCGTATCTTGAATAAGGCAGCCGTACGGTATCATCCCGTGGTCGAGGTAGAGCAGCTGGCTTTGGTATTTCCTCATATGACCGTCTCAGTATGGAGTCTGGTATGCCGTTTTCTTTATCACCCATTTCTCTGTAATAATAGGCTGAACGACCCTCTGTGGAAATGCTTCCGCGGGAATGTCCCTGTACAGAACTTGGGCCACCCCTGGCTTCTTTACTTGATGATATGGAGACGATAGAGTCTGCCTTAAACACTCGCTTATTTGCATATGCTTCAGCGGATTGAAATTTAGAAGAGTTGCTTGGATCGGTCGAAATATCTCGTGGTGTGGTCAAGAGATTTTCTCGTTCTGTTGACCCATTTTCGTTTTCTTTGGGCCATAGGGGTGGCCTCGTAGAACGCACAGACACAGCTCCCTCGGTGGTCCTTGTGGAGGATGGAACAGTGCGATCAGAGAATGGATGGAAGTAGTCTGCTGGAGGCCTTAGAGGCACTTCATCTCCAATAGACTTTTCAACATTTCGGAATTCATTTCGTAACTTTGGCTGGTCATTTCTTAAGCTGCCTCGTCGTCGAGTTATTTCGTCTTCTTTAGGATTTTTAGCATCACCAAACCTCTTTGTTTCTTCATTCCTCGACACATCCTTAAACACAACTCCATCGTTATTGGACACGTTATATCTCTCGACCAAAGTTCTGCTAATTCCACCATGACGAACATCTGCCATATCCTCCATTCTTCTGTCTGGAATGATTATTTCAGTAATAACATCCGAGGTCCGTTTGGGGAAAGAAGGCATTTTCTCCGCTTCAGCTTTCAATCTTGCAATGTCTTCTTTGAGCCTGTCTTGTATAGAGGGTTCTCGACTTCTCCATCTCGAAGAAATGTTCGCAGACGCTGGTCTTAACGAAGGTGGTGGAACATAAGGTTTTACGTGGTCTCGTGTCAACGTTTCAGCTTTGAGCTTTGCAATGTCTTCCTTGAGCTTGTCATGAATGGTGGGTTCTTGGCTAAACGAATACAGCTTCACATCTTTCTTCGTTGTCCGATTTTCGGCTTCGGCCTTGAGTCGAGCTATATCTTCTCTTAGCTTGTCACGGGTTGACGATCTCATTTCTCCCATTCTTGAATCTCTCCTGTTTGTCTCATCACGGCGAAAAGAACCTTCACGGTCGAAGTTTCCTTGACGGTGCAGAGCTCTAGATCGATAGCTTGGATACACCTGTTTATCCTCATAGGAAGGCCTTAACTCTTCTGAAGACCGGCTTCGCAGCCTTGAAAGAGATGAGGAGCGTCCATTGCGATCAGCGCGGTTCCAACGATCAACAAAACCTGCATTTCGATCAAGTGATCCTGTGCGCCTGCTTTCCCTCGAAAAACGCTTGTCATCGTCAGAACCTGTGGTTCCAAAATCTGATAAAGACCTGGAATGAGACAAAAACTCACTTCTCCCAGGAACCTCTCTAAAGATTCCTGATCTATCTCTTTTCTTTTCATTTAGGCTTTCAGTAGAACGGGAGCGTGCCTTGATTTCTCTTGGGAAAATTCCCCAATCACTTGCTTTACCATTCTGCATAACTGTATGAACATCAAACGTCTCTCGCCTGCCAACGACGTCGTCTTTCTCTGATTTGGAAGTAATTGTTAAGGTCGTCTTTCTGTGCGAATCGCTGTCTCCGTGTTTACCAGACAAATTCACATGCGCCTTCGAGGTGTGTTTCGATATATCAATGCTGTCGTCTTCAGAAAACTTTTTGGAAAGTCTTTCTCTATCTAGAGAATTAGATGCGTCCTTTCTTTCCAAAGCTCTTCTCAGAATGTTTATATTTTCCGAATTGATGGTCGTAGGACCACCATTTTCCTTGTCTGCTTCTTTAATGCTCTGTAAAGAACTTCTACCCTTGAGGCTACTAGAAGAGTCTGTTGATCTGTCATTCCTCCAGCTTACTCCTTTGGCAGCGCGCAATTCAGCAGCAGCAGCCTTATAACTTGTCGCTCGGATGGATTCTCCATTTTCTCCGGCGATATTGGTTTTCTGGTCAACACTTCTGTCTTTTCTAAAACCGACACTCGATCGATAAAAGGAAGAAATAACATCTTCGCTTTTATCAGCCAGTTGATTCACTTTTGCGGCATCTCTGAGGTATTCGTCTTTGGAGTATGAAGAGTAAAATGAAGAGATCGGATCCGTTGTTGCTTCTCTGCCTGAATATCCAGGTAAATCTCTCGATTTAACGGATTGAATTTTTTCGCTCGTTCTGTAAGAAGAGGTTGACCTTTTATCGATGACACTTCTTGTCACAAAAGATTTTGTTGTGTTTTCAGAGACCCGTTCAGAAGCTTCCTTGGTGGGATAGATTTCCCTCTCAATCTTATCTTCTTTGGGCCCTATGCATAGGCTTGATATGAACGAGGGTCTTCCGGCCTCGCGACCTGTTTTGGCATCGTTATATTCCCGGACATCTTCTGTCCCAGATGAATAGCTCTTCTTTGAGTACATTGCTTGGTGATGTTTTTAGTGCTTAAGACATTCGAACGCCTAATGATATCCTGAAATAAGGCACCCTGGATTGTCCTGAGAAAAAAGGAATCGACTATTAGTTACAACTAATAATTCGTCGTTAAAGCTGTCTAACATCTATCTATGTCACTTTTCCCTTTAATTTCCCAAGTTTGTTTTGCACTCTTCAAACTCCTTATTAACCATGAGAAAACGCTTTATCGTGGTTTCGTGCTAAAGTGGAATTAGAGGCGTTCATTAAAAGGTGTCTTGACTCGCGCAAAAACATCCCCCAATATCGCGTTCGTGAGCTTGACGCATTTCCGTCAATAGCACTCCAGCACCTTTCTATGAAATCGATGGGAAGTTATGAGAAATACATGACAAACTGAAGCGGACTTAATTTACTTTGTGCTGAGAGACAATGAAACAGGAAAGGCAACAGTTTCGAGCATTAACTTAATAATTTAAATATTCCTGGTTCATTAAAATCAGGTTTCAAAGAACAAGACATATTTCAACAATTTTAGTCCAAAAATAACGAACTGGGGTATTGTTTAATTAATGAATTTAAAAAATTTCGTATCCCATAATGTCAAGGAGTTATTTGGAAAATGATTGCAGGACGAAGGAAGTACTTTGGTCTTTAAGTATCCAATGGGCATCTGTTGACAGGTTTTGCGGCATTTTAGGCTTTGATCAGTCAAAAGTTCCCACCTTGGGGTTTTGTGAGTAATTAACATATAAGTAGTAAAACAATACAGGGCAACATCTTCGACGAAATGTCAGTTAAGGCCATGAATATTTTTTTTCCCGTCAGCAATTTAAGGATGTCACATAAATAAGTCTCTGTTGCATTTACGAGATCTTAAACCAACGGCTTAATGAATTGGACCATAGCTCAAAGGACAATCAGGAAAGAAATCTGGAGTGAACATTTTATTTTGGGCCAATATAAATTAATGAAAGCTTTTTCAGCTGTGTGCATTAAATATTCTGGAATGCTGTTGTATATATAATAGCCCAAGAATCTAAAAGGCCAATCAAAGGCAGCAGGCAGCAGGCAATTAAAAAAATAATAAATTTTACATGAACACGTGGAGATTATGGTTGTTCTGCTTTGTGCGTTCTGCTCTAGCAAACGATTTTGTATCAAATGACTTTTCTATTTGTCAGATATCTTTTTTGCCTAACGGCTTCGATCTACAATGACATGGTCTGGAAACCATATGGCTTCTACAAGTTTGCTATTTAAGTCACAACTGGTTAACCATCTATTTGTTCTTTACGGCATCTTCGAACACATGTGGGCGAGTCTCTAACTTTCCGAGCACTCCCAATATACGGGTTTTCCAAAATTAGATCTCTTTATAGCGGACATATTATTAATGAAAATGTTAGTACTTAATTTGATTGAAAGGGTAATAGCAAGTGTTATTTTTTAAAGTACCATTGCGTTCCTCTCGATATTTCAGTAAAAGATGACTGATTTAGAAAACGATATAGGTTCGTCAGTGTTGTCTTTACTGAAGTTTTTTGTAAGGGGTAGATTTACGAGTCGTGTTGGGTATGTCCAATCTTCTCTTTTGCAATATTCAAAGATTTCGCTTTACCTTATCCCATATCCCCTAATGTTCAATCATTGTTTACGGATGTCTCGTAAACAATTCCTGCGCGGTATTGACTCAGTTCAAGAAAGATATTGACTTAAATCGCAAATCTCTTAATTGGAATAAGAAAGCAGTCTTCTAACAATAACTAAGCATTAAATACCTTGCGAACAATTCAAAGTTAATTGAAAAAACTGATTGCTTTGTAAAAAATCCGTTCAGTTGGTTTCTATGATATTAATGATGCTAATTGGTGATGATGAAATTATATAAACGTGACGGATTTCCACGTATCAATTTTTTAAATTCAATTTTCTGAACAATTAACTTCGCAATCTTGCAGTATAACTACCGCTATTTGATTAAGTAACAAATGTTTTCAATTGATTTATCGTCCCATTTAAAGTGAAAGACTAATAGAATAAAGATTTCTTTTGTTAATTTTTTTTACCAAATAAAGTGATGCTTGAACTAATAAGAACTACAAATTCTCAATTTTCTTACTTTCCGTTACTAGAAAGCGAAATGGTGCATAGATTGAATTAGCAAACTTTTGGTAAGGAAAAAAAAAATACACAAGCTTAATCTCCTTCATCTGCTGATTTGTAAAGATTCGAATGAGCTCATCAACTTCCCTCGGATGTGGGATCTCTGAGATGTAAGTCTGCATCGCGGTGAAAGCAATTTAGAAGCGTCCTCTAGTCCGAGGTTTTGTGGAGTTTGGTCAAAATACAAAGCAGCACAGGACACCTACCTTATGTTTGAAGCCGCCAGGAGATCAACGAAATCAAGAGCAGGCGAAAGGTGCAATGTTCTCCATAAGACACGACGCCTACGATTGATGAACTGAGTGTTGTTGTCATGAAACCTTGCATGCTGTAAGAATTAATGAGCATTCAATATAATAATATCCGTGTGAGAAAGCTGTCTTTCCACATCATTGGCTCTCTATAGTATGTTACAGGAGGGTTAATCCTTCATCAAAACAAAGAACAGTATTACGTAGTCTTGGGTAACTTTGATCACCCAGGAAAATCATGCAATTGCTAAAGTCAAGCAAAAACCCAAGTTATTTAAAGATGGATGTTTAAAAGATGACCAGTTTGAGATACGAGGTTAGTTAAAAATGATCAGGTTTAACCTTTAAGCAGTCAAGAAGCCATGGAGCATTTTGAATATTGCTTTCGCGTTGAGATAAGTAAACTAAAACCTATACTTCTCAGTTGGAGGAAACTCAGTGTTACACTTTATCCAAAACAGCCCTTACTTTATTGACTGCTACGGTAATTGAGAGATATCAATTTACTTCATAATTAAACAACTAAGAAAATAACGATCAAAGGTTAAAACGCAAAGACCTCTTTGAAAATTAGGTTTATGGAGGAGCTGTATTGGCTTTCAAACAAAATTTGACGAAATCGCTAATGCTTAGCTAATTATTAATTCATGAGAAAACGCGACGGTATCTACAGACAGGAAGTTTCGCAAAGAGTTTTCCTTCCGTAGTCACAACCCAGAATTTTCCACAATTTTCTTTTCCAACCACTGAGAGTAAAAAGCATTCATTGAGTTTGCGGCTTCCCTGGCATTTTCATCTCCGTGCATGGAAGGAGATTATTGGTCCAAAAGTATATAAGGGTGTTTGTATGTACGGGAATCCGGAAATATTGGTCAAGAAAAACCGAAGTTAACGGTTAGATTAAACTTTTTTTTCGCGAGACAAAATTTAAAAAATTGTGAGGTATTTTTTTTGCATGGGAAATTGAAATTCAGCCGTCCAAAATGTGGTGTTTGGAAGTGTAAGCATCTGAAATGTTTTAAGGAAGAGTGTAATAATGTCATCTTTCAAGACCATTTTTGGGCTAATCAATGGTTTAAACTCATCGGGAAAGCAGGTGGTAAGTTCAAAATAGCAGTCGCTATTGTGTAAGACCGTTCTTAAGTGATCACGTACAAAATAACGCCGAGTGTTTTTTGTCCTCTTCCGTTTTAGGAACTGTGCCCAATTCGCTTTCTTTATAGTCTGCGAAGTTAGTTCTTTGGAATGTTCTAAACGACGCAGAGAAACTATTTTTAGAAAGAAATATGGGACTGAGCCATACAAGTAGAACCATTTTCAATTTTAAGGTCACTTTTTCGTGGGCTTTGCTTTGGATACTTATAATAGTATTACAAGTTCCTTAGCTACGTACGAGAAATTGGTCAGATATTGTTGGCGACTACGAAGAAAAATGAATTTTAATTCAATTTAAATCCTTTTCCTTATTCCTTTTTGAATATTTACGAACGCAACTCTCTGCCTCGTTAAGCCCATTATTTTCAAGCAAACTTTGATTAGAAATTCCTTGCGATTAAACAAAATAAAAGCCTGTGGGCGTTATCTGGATATAAGATCAAACTCTTTCAGTAGATTATCAATGAAATATTCAGCATCTTGAAAGTCAGTAGAGCTGTGAATCAGATGCCCTGGCTTGAAACTTGAACTTCCAGTTGTGATGATAATATAGTAGCGGCAAACAAGTGAGGAGAATAGATAAAAATATTACCCAGGATTGATAACATTCTTAATTCCCTTTACCAACTTATAAGGAGATGTATAGCAGGCAGAGGGAGGAATTAAAATTCAGATCTTGGGAAGTACAAGATATTCAATGTACAAACGGATATGCAGTATTTCCATAACTGTCATTGCCCAAGCCTTTCTTTTGCCTCATAAGTATGGCAATATTTTCGTTATTAATAGCACAAAATATAATTAATACTTAATAATTGATTTATTTTGATAGGTTTCCAGAATGACGGAAAACTGGCCCTTAATTTCTCATTCACGACAATAAGTAACCGAGAGTCTAAAGGAAACGACTTGAGGGAACTAGAAGAGTGAATTTTTCATATCATTGGTACTCTGCCGGAAGTCTGCCGGGTTAAGAATACCTAAATATTTTAAATAGCGTTGCACTCTATTAACGTCTCTGAGTGACAGATTGTATGTTAAAACTATCGAAGATTATGATATGATATGTAAACCGTAAACTAAACATAAAATTCATGGTTCATTAGATTATTGATTATTCCAAGAGCGTTGAAAATTTTATTATTTGAACAATACTCAACTAAAAGATGGTGCTCACATTACTTTGATTGCGCACCCTGACCCAGCTTTCTCACCCGTCCCTGTTAACTAAGAGCCTGAACTCTAAGGGCCTGCTTCGACTATAAACTATTGTGCATCAAAGATTTTTGCATTGGCTAAGTCGCGAGCTATGGCTTTACATTTTTGTGCTTCGGTTTATTTGGCACTCT